ATCAGAGTCAATTAAATAGAAACTGAAAAAAGGAAAACACACAGTATTAGAGATAGTAACTCCCCTGGCAAAGCATGAGGAGACAGACAGAAAGGAAGGACACTTGTGCAGAAATGAGACAAGCACAGCCCTTGAAGATATATGCAAAGCAGGTCCTCGCAAATGGAGAGCAACAGAGCAGTCCTTTATCTTCTGAAGACATCCTGACTACTGGGCATTTGTATGTCAGCCCCTCAAGTGTGTGGCTTTATTTTAATAGCATCACCACTGAAGATGATCTATGAAAAGAGCTCGTCACAAAGGGAATGCTCTGCTGCTCATTCTGAATTAAGCAAGAGAAGCCATGAGTGATCATTCATTCATACAGCACACATATACCTAATGGATGAGGTCACCAGCCTCGTGAACTTTACAGCCTGATGGAGAGACAACTGCACAGGTAGTAACAATTTTAAGTGTCAGTTGCTGAGACAGGAGGTGCAGAAGGAGGGAAGGACAGAGGTGAGGGCCTTCCCACTCTGGAGGTGAGGATGGATTGCAAAGGAAGTGAGATTTCAAGGATGCATCTGGAGAGGTCTAAAGGAGCTAGCTAAGAGTGAGCAAGAATGGAATATCCATGGGCTGAGGATGAGATAGTGTGAGCCGGGTTTGGGAAGTAGTTCTAAATGGCTATACAAGCTGGGAAGAGTTGGAACTACAGGGTTAACTGACCCAGGACATGAAAATCTCTGTGTTCTATATTTAGCCCTGTTTTCTTTATACTGCAGACTTCAAAATTATTAAGTATTACCGTTCTGTTTGTCACAAACAGTGACTGAAGAAAACATGAGAGTAGAAAAGAGATAAGGCTGTCCTGATCCTCAGAAGAGCTGGCTTGTAAGGTTGACCTATGACTGGCTTCTGGGAACTTAGTTCCCAGCACTGATAGAAACCTTTCATTGAACTGATCAAGTTGCCTTGCTATGACCAGACTGTCAAATAACCAGATTGTGCTGGTCAGTTTTAACTGCCACCTTGTCACAAACTGGATTCACCAGGAAAAGTGTCTTAATTCCGAATTATCTTTGTCTGGTTGGCCTGTGTACATGTCTGGGGAGGAGTGTCTTGGTTGATAGCTGGTGTAGGAAGCCACAGCTCATTGTGGGTAGTACCATTCCCTAGGCAGAGGGTTCTGAAGGGTATGAGAGAGGAAAAAATGAGCTGAGAGGAAGCAGGCAAGCAAAGATCGATGCATTATAGTCTCACTTTGATCTTAACAGTGGATGTGAAACTTTAAGTTTCTGCCATGACTTCCCTGAAATAATAAACTAACAAGGAATTATAAGTAGAAAAACTTCTATTTTCATTAAGTTGCCTTTTGTCGGGATCTTTCTCAGAAATGAAGCCAGGATAATGACTTCCACCAAGAACGCAACTTCCCCTGGCACTCTGGAACTTGGACGTACGATAGGTCGCAGGTGCTTGTGCCTCGAGATCCTTACAAACCCAGATCTTGTATGCCGAGTCTTTCAGAAATTTCCCTCAGATGGGACACCATGCATATGTGCTACATTCTCATACGGGACGATGGTGTTGTGTGAACCTTCATGAAAGGAAAATGTTATGCTTGGGACACTGTGTTCCCAGAAGGCTCATGTATTGAATCACTGGTTTCCAGCACAAAGCGGTATTTTGGGAGGTTGCGGAGGCTCTGGGAAATGAAGCCTCACTGGAGGGAGAGGTCATTATGAAGGGTTCTTGGAGGCCTGTTATGTAGGCCTTGTCCTGTTGAGCTCTCTGCTACCTGATCAGCCATGAAGTGAAAAGCTACACACTTCTGCCACCATGAGGCCTTCCTAAGTGTTTAGAGCCAAGTGATCATGGAGTGACATCTCTGGAAAGAGGAGCCCAAATAAATCCTTCCTCCTGTAAGTTATTTCTGTTAGATATCTGATCATAGCAATGAAGAACTGATGCAAATGGGAAAAAAATTGTAAGAAAGCTGGCAAATGAATCGCTCTAGTCCCCCTCACTTTCCTCTCCACACCTGTGTGTATCCTCATTACAGACCTGTGACAAATCTTTGTCATGAGTCCTTTCAGTGGGTTGTCTCAGAGACAGGAAGTCTCAACGTCTCCTGACAGGCATGGTGTGGATATTTAGCTCTATTTATTGAATTAATAAATATAGATATAAATATGAATTAAAAAATAAATGCAGCATCAACAGGTATAGTAACATGTCTGTAATCTCATTCCTAAGGTTTAGGCAAGAAGATTGCAGAATCAAAATCATCCTGAGGACTGGAGTGGTGGTGTATACATTTAATTCTAACACCCAGGAGGCAGAGGCAAGAGGATCTCTGTGGGACAGAGGACAGCCTGGTTTACAGAGTGAGCCCCAGGACTATGTAGAGACTCTGCCTTAAAAAAAATGAAAATAAAAAGTCACCCTTTGCTGTGGAACAGTCCTTTTCTACACTATGAATATGTATTACTCTCATTGGTAGCTAGACTGAAAGTTTGGCCGAAAAGCCAAACTGAGAATGATGGGAAAAAGGAGGACAGAGTGAGAGGAGACACCAGCCCACCATTGAGCAAACATGATGTGTAGAAAATGAGGTAACAAGCCATGAACCATGTGGCAAAGGATAAATAGAAATATAGGTTAATTTAAGTGTAAGAGTTAGCTAGTAACAAGCCTGAGCTACTGGCCAGACTTTTATAACTCCTAGTCAGTTGTTTGAGATCAGGTGGATGAAAACTCCGTTACAATTCTGCCCAAAACAAACAGAAGTATTACTTTTTGTTGAACTTCCCACAGGGCTGGAAGCCCTGACTGCTCTTAGGGATGAAGAGGGAGGAGGAGGGGGAGGGGGGAGTGAGAGGGTGTTGGGAGGAGGGGCGGAAATGAAAACTTTCATAATTTAATAAACTTTAAAAAAATAAAACAAAAACATGGCTAAAAGAAAAAAAATAAAACAACTACTGTCCTAAAAAAAGTATTACTTTTTGTATTGTTTATATATAATATTTGTGTGTGTGTGTGTGTGTGTGTGTGTGTATGTGTGGAAAGTGAGGAGTATCTGTGTATACCAGAACTTGTTTAATCACTTTCAGTTCTCATCCTCCATACTTCTCCAGTTCACAAACTCTGTTCTGAATGATGCTGTTATTTCTGCTCTATGGAGAACTGACCCAAGGACTTTGTGCATGCTTGGCAAACACTCTGCCACTGATCAAAGTCCGCCATATCTCTGAATTGCTCTTGACTTTAACCTCCAAATGACAATGATGTGTCCATTTTGAGAAGTGTAGAAATCAGGAGTTTCCAGCTTCTGAGCAGTTGCAAATCACAGAGTTCAGAAGGGTTTCAACAGCGGCGGGATACCGTGGAATGTTTATAGCATCACAGGAACTACTGTTTTTCTTTTCTTGATTAAGTGGAGAGATGCTTAATTGTCTAACCCCTGGGGAGCTCAATGAAACTGCATTATCATAGTGCAATACAGTAATGCACATAGCTTCTCTTGTTACATTAAAAGTACATTAGTGATGATATAGATGCATGAAAATGCTGTAATAAAGAAAGCCATTACTTTGTATGCTAACTCAAAAAATAAATTAAAAAGTGCATTGATATTTATGACATGACCACCACATACTAGGTCCTTTGACAAAATGCATGTCAGAAAATTTGAACAATTGAAAGAAATTCCCTATCTTTTATTGAGCTTCAGATGGTATCCAAAGAAAAATTATATCTTACCAGAAAGCCTTGGGTTACTTAGGGCTTCACTTTCAGTTTCCAGAGGTCCTTGGAGTTCTGCCCTTGGACTGAGGACCTGCTGAGTAGAGCCTTCAGATAGACTCATAGCTCCATCTCATCATCTCTGTCTTTGTCTGGACCAGGGAGAATGGCTCCCTACTCTCTCTTTAACCTTGGAGCCTTCCCTGCAGTTTAGAAGCACAGAACACCACCTCCAACTCTGGCCGGTTTGCTTTTGTCCTGTGTTTCTTGTCTAATTGGAGAATATTTACAGCTCACAAGTAGACTTTAATATTTAAGGTCCGCTGGCAGGCACCATGTCCCAGAAGCTGCTCAGCAGCACGCAGTCTACCACAGCAGTGTTCCTCAGGCCGCTGACGCTGGTTTTAATCGCTGCTTTGTTGTCTTTCTATCCTTTATTTTTCTATTTTTCTTCTCTTACCCATCCTACTTGTACATGGGGAGTTCTGTATTTTATGTCCCTTTCATAATTCTGAAAATGAGACATTCTTTCATTGTATTTCTCTGTTCACAGCCACTTAGCAGAAATTTCCTTTTGTTCCCATGAGTCTACAGTCTCTTATGTTTGAGCAGGAATATTACATTTGCTTGACTTTGTTCTTCTGAGTCACTTGCAGGGTCAGTTAATGTAAGGTATATTTTCCATCTTAGAATTGATTAGTTGCCAACAAATTTTAGTTCTAAACAAAGCATGTTATCTATGTTTGCCCTCTGTTGAAAGACTTAATACAGTGTTGTAAGATTTGGTGTTGTTGGCAGCATCATTAGGTCTAGAACAAAGTTTCTGAGAACATACAAGTTATATGAATGAGAATGAGCCCAAAGGCTCATGTGTTTGAATATGCGGTGCCCAGTTGGTAGAGCTGTTTGGGAAGAAGAAGGAGGTGTGGCCTTGTCAGAGGAGCTGTATCATTGGGGCTGTGGACTTTGAGGTTTCAAAAGCCCAGGCCATTCCCAGTTAGCTCTCTCTGCTTTCTGTTTGTGGTTTAAGATGTAAGCGCTTAGCTGCTATTCCAGCCATCCTGTCTGCTGCTTGGTGCCATGCTGCTCTGCTATGGTGAGCCCTTATCCCTCTGTAACCTCTTTCTTATGTAAGTTGCCTTGGTCATAGTGTTTTTATCACAACAGAAGAATAACTAAGACAGAGCTTAGTAGGAGAACATTTGATTATTTTTCCTTTTCGGAGAGAGGTGTCCCTTCTGCTCTGTGACCTTGGGCATTCTCTATTTCAGACTTCCAGAGAGACGGTCTTTCCGAGCCTACACAGCTGTTCTGTATTGTGATCCTCGAATGAGAATATTTATCCAAGCCAAAAGAGTTCAGACAAAGCACTTGTGTTACTCCCTTTACAAACCCAGGTAACATGCTTTCTTTTTGATTATTTTCTTGGAGATTTTACTTGTACCATTGCTAGAACTCCTCACATTCTCAAGAGGAAGACAGCGACTGGTGGTAGGCATTTCACAGTGCTCTCAGAAAAGACTAAACACTGCAGGGAGCATGCTTACTTTGGTAAGGACCCTTCATAGGAATTGCTTGTTCACTCTAGTGCGTTAGTTGTGATGGTTTCCATGCCGAGAACACAGTTGGATGGCTTTTCTGTTTGCATAGCATATTTGAACTATTAGGCTTCATACAGTATCATTATATTTAATGATGTTCTTCAGGATGAGCTTATATGATAGTGTTACCTTAGGATTTTTATCACTTAATGGTGACACAAGTGTCATGGTGTTGCCTGTATGCTCTATGGCTGATGACATAGTCCCCATTCCATAATACAGTATCTCTCTCATTAAGCAACATTTATGCATGGTATTCATGTAGAATGAGCAGGTATAAAATACTTGGTCCATTTATCACATATATATGTACATATATATAGTCTTATTTTTAATTTTTATTTTTTTATTATTTTATGTGCATGGGTATTTTTGTCTGCATGTATGTCTATGTACTACTTGCCTGCAGGACCCACTGGGGTCATAAGAGGTCATTGGATTGTTGGAACTGAAGTTAGAGACAGCTGTGAGCTGCCTTATGGGTGCTAGGAATTGAACCAGAGACGCTTAGTTATTTCTCCAGCTCCTTATTTGATATACTTTAATGTAAAAATTAGGCTTGTTTTCATGATATGGAATCAGTCTTGCCCAACTCTTCATGCAGTAACAATGATCTTTTCTTACTTTTGCTGTGTTTTCTGGGTGCTCATTAATTCGTACAAGAGATTAGCATAATCGTGGGTTCCACTGGGGTGGTAACAAAGAGAAGTAATTCTCACTTAAGGAGCTTGCCATCCACTGGGAGAAACAGTACTTGCATGCTGGCTAAATTTTGCCTATTTTATTTTCTGCACTGATTCTTTGGGGTTTTGTTTTGGTTGAAATCATCATTGATGTTAGAGATCTGCACAAAAGCCCAAATCTTCTGGCTCTGTTTTTCTTTTCTTTTTAATCAGTCCAAATTTGTTACTCCTTCACCTACATCACATTAACTTTTGATAAAAGACCTTCACCATCTATTATGTTGTCATGGTGTCTTGAAAAGTCAGTGTCTAGCCTGGGGCTTTCAAATTCCTCGTAGAGATGTAATTTAAAAAGCACAGACCACTTTGATTCTGTGCCCTCACTAACAACAGTGGATTTCTCACGAGCTTTAATTTTGATATCTGTTTATACTGAAGATCATCTTTTAAAAATAAAGTGTGCACAGGCTGAGACCATGTCGGGCTGTTCATTCCCTAGTAAATATCGGACATGTTCCCTTTCCATCAGTCTCATTCCTGTGGGAGGTACCAAAGGTCTCCTGGATCAATCAGCTAGGCTTTTTAAATTATTCCTCTTAGTGAGTTTGGTTAAGAAAAATGTTCAAACCATTGATAAGTGGATTTGTTTTCACTTTCTGAGTAATTTGAGTAAGCAAAATTTTACAACCTGAATTTCTTTTATTGACCAATTGCAGCTCCCATCTTTGTATGTTTGCACTGACCTTCTGAAGTGACATTCATACATTCTTATGTGCTGGTGTCATGAGTGTCTTTCCTTCAACATATACTTGCCAGTATTTTCACCAGATCTGCTTGTAGATGGTTGTGAGCCACCATGTGATTGCTGGGAATTGAATTCAGGACCTTCTGGAAGAATAACCACTGCTCTTAGCCACTGAATCATCTCTCCAGCTCATGTGAATGCTTCTGAAATTCATAGTTGACCCTGCTCTAGTGGAGATAGATCATAGAAGCAGTACCATAAACAAGGTGTGAAGAGTTGAAGTTCAGGTAGCAAATATGAGGTAAATAACTTGACAGAACAGCCTTTAGATTTTTAAAATTCTACATGTAAACATAGAACTGATAGTGATTTACATGAAAAAGTGATTAGGTACTATAATTGCCCCAGAATGTTGGTTTTATTTCATAGGATGACCTGGTTGCTAAGTGTGGTTATGGAACTTAGTTGTAGAACAAGACAGTCATAGCTCCAGTCAACCATGTCTACAGGAAGACGTCCAGAATCAGATCCTTTTGGTGGGACACATGCCACTGCATTATACTTCTTTCATGGAGAATAGCTATCTGGACAAGACTATTGGTAGGTCTGAGGATGGAGGGGAGAACACTCTGCTAAATGCAAACATGGAAGGCTGCCATGCAGTTGATAGAATTCTGGAAGACAGACCTGGGATACCTGAGCAGAAGACAGAGCTAGTCCACCATGATGCTGTTAGGCTGTTTTCACGGTGAAGGGATATACATCTGACCTTTCCCCATTGATGCTTTTGATGAAGATATTCAAAGAATCAAGTCAAGGGAGCCCTTACAGCTGCCTTGCCTTCACCTTACCATTGAAGTGTGGGCAGATAGGTAGAGGTCAGACAACCCTAGCCACTGAGCTAAGAGGCCTGGCCCAGGGTCTATACTCATTCTGTGGCCTCAGATGAGGGACTAAGAAACGAAGAGTTAGGGGAGTCCATTCCTTCTCCAGTGGATGCTTCACTCCACCTCTTTTCCTCTGAGGTTTCATTAGCAGGGAGTGGAGGGGTGCGTAAAGAAGTACCAGCATGCTGGAGGCTTCCATTTCTGCAACGGAGATTTGAGCACTTAATTTTTGTGTTTATGAAATTGAACAGCTTTGCCACTTTAATATTTTAGAGATGCACACACAGAGTGTGTTTAAATTGTCCCGAACAATTCGAAAGTTGAAGCTGTAGACCAGTTTGCAGATTGTCTGGGATTATTTCACTCAATTTTCAGCCTATTATTGTAAAATGAGCAGTAATGCAGAGTTGGCACCTCTAGTGCCACCTTTAGCTCATACAAAAAAATGCTTGAATAGCTTAATTCACATTCTTTGAAAAATTGCTTCATTGTTTAAACAATATCCCCTTAATTTCATTTTGAATCTGAAATTTAATTAAACCTAAAATGAATGATTCAAGCCAGATAAAGTATATGATTAGAACATGATTTTTAAAAGCAAATGATAATTTCAGGATATGGTCACCAATAATTGTATGCCTCCAAACTTAGGTTTGCTGTTCTCTAAGTATAGTAGAGACTAATTTTCACTACACGGAGAATAAAATTTGAATGAGCTATATAAGTGTAAAAGAAAACCAAGGGAACAGACTGATTAGAACTTCACCTTAGATTTTAGAGGTGTTTCTTCTCAGTGGCCAATCTTAGCTTCTCTCAAAGTGGACATGGAAGTTAGGAACGAGAGCTACAAAGTTAGATCTTAGAATAAATGCCAGTTGAGCCATTGCGGTGCAAGCATACGGGATGGCATTTGGTTTTGCTGTTGCTGTATCTTTTGTTTTGATTGTGCTAGAGCAAGATCCCAGGTCTTTGGTCGTTCTAAGTAAGCATTCTCTTACTGAATCACACAGCCAATCTGTCTCTGAGTTTCTGTCACTAAGAAAACACACCATGACCAAAAACAAGTTGGGGAGGACAGGGATTGTTTCATTTAGAAATCCAGGTAACCATCCCTCACTGGGGGAAGTCAGGACAGGAACTCAAGCAGGGTAGGAACCTGGAGGCAGGAACTGATGCAGAAGCCATGGAGAGCTGCTGTTACTGGCTAGCTCTTCATGCCTTGCTAAGCCTGCTTTCTTGCAGTACCCAGGATTGCTAACTCAAGGGTGGCATCGTGTGGAACCACTCACCATGGGTTGAGCAGCCACTAATTAAGCAAATGCCTACAGGCCAACTTGCCCAGTCTTCAGGAGGCATTTTCTCCCTGAAGTTTCCCCCCATCAGATGACTACCTTGTGTCAAGGTGACATAAAGCTAGCAAGCACACCATCCGAGCATTTAGTTAGTTTTAAAATATTTGCTTTTTCCTGTTAGTCACTCATCAAATTTTACAAGTTTTTCCACATTATGAGAAGGAAAGCAATCTTCTCTAAAATACACACTAGAGAGTTTAGACTATAAAAACACACACTGTGAACATATACAATGCTTATATATATGAAAACATAAACAATGTTGGTTACTTTAAGTTCTTTTAGATATGTTAAAATTTCACTTCCTGTAACAACCCTGTGCTACCATTGATAACATGATAGCTTTGATACCTTTGCAGTCATTCAGCTACAGATGAAATGGATTTGCTGCAAATGTGACTGCCTCAACCTTACACTTCTATAAGGGGTACACTCCTATAAGACTGACCTGTACCCAGGCAGAAAGACTCAGGGAAGTCCAGTTCAGCATTTGATCATGAAGCTTCTGTGTCTTATGTCCGTCTGGACTGCATCTGTTTAGATAATGGAAGATAATCATCAATAAACTATATACAGACTCCAGCTTCCAACCATTTAATTATGTTATGACCTGTTTGTATCAGAAATCCCTGAAGAATATGCATTATTTCTTACATTGTTTAAAGCTAGTATATAGGGCTGGAGAGACAGCTCAATGGGTCTTAACTGCTGTTCCAGAGGACCGGAGTTCAGCTCCTACCTACCACCCATGGTGGGAGACTCACAACAACTTGTTAACTGACTTCCGGAAATCTGGTATCCTCTTTGGGTCTCTGCTGGTACCCGCAGACATGTGACATATACATGGGCACATACCAGTAAATAAAAATAAAAACAAATCTTAAAAAAACTTTTAAAAGTCAGAATCTATAAAAGTCTTTCTAGATAAGACCATAATTTAATGAGTGTTGCCAACGGGTTGCTAGCCTCCTTCTGTAGGAAGCATGTTAGTAAGTACATATGCATATTTGCATATTCTTTTTTCCCTTTAATTTAAAAACTCACAAAAACAGTGACATAGATATGAGGCTGTCTTGGAAGAAGCCAGTGGCTCTCAGTCTGGTCCGTGGGCTATAGATGACCACCCGGTACAATGCACACTTTGTGCAATGCACACTTAAGGCAAAGACAAACAAGGATTGTCCTTGCTGGCTTAACCTTCAGATGGGCATCTCCTCCAGGAACACATTCCCAGATCCACTCAGAAGAAACATTTTACCAGCTCCCTGGGCAGCTCATAGCACAGTCATGCTGACACTTACAATTAGTTGTCTCATGCCTTTATAAGCGAGATGTTGAGTGACTGGTGAGCTCACGAGTCAATAGGAGTGCGAAGCAAAAGCGCGGAGTGAGACTTGTAGTGCTCCAGGCTTTCTCAAGCCTCACTCTTTTAGACTGTTTCCTTCTATGATGATTCAAACCGAAATGTAAGAGCCAGGTTCCATGGATTCTTTATAAATGCCTGTAACTTTAGCCACATCAAGGCGACCTATTTCACAAAGTTTTTCTTCTTGAGTTTTTTTTTTATTAGCATGTGTTATTTGTAATGTAAAGGATTTCATTATGACATCTTCATACATGATCATGATGTATTCCAATCTTTATTGCTTTCTCTTGTTCTCTGTTAATCCCCTTTCTATTGTCAAGCAATCTGTCCCACCTTTGTGTGTGCGCACGTGCATGCGTGCATACGTGTGTGCGTGCATGTGTGAGTGAGTGAGTGAATTTCACTAGGGTTGTTTACAGTGCCATGGGTGAGAACCTGTCTATCCCACTGATGAAAACAGATTTACTATCCTAGTTTTCTCCGCTATTGCTATGATAATCAGCATGACTGTGGGGAAGAAACGGTTTGGTTCATGTCATACTTCCAGTGCACCATGAAGGGAAGTCAGTGCAGGAACTGAAGGCAGGAACCTGGAGGCAGGAACTGAAGCAGAGGCCAGGGAGGAAGGCTGCTTACTGTCTTTCTTAGCCTGCTTTCTTACACTAACCAGAGCACTGCCCAGGGTGGCCCCACCCACAGTGTGCTGCTCCCGTCCCCGCACATCAATCACTAACTGGAACATAGAGTACAGACCTGCACCTAGGCCATTCTGAAGGAGGCTTTTTCTCCACTGAAGTCCCCTCTTTCAGATGACAGTGACTCGTGTCAACATTGATAACTATCCAGCTCACTCCTCTATCACCTATTATCTGGGTATAAATCCTCAAAGAGGGGTGTAGCCCCGTGAGCCCCTCCTACTTCCATAATAGGATCTGATCTTGTGCAGGTTTTAGCAGTTAAGCACAGCTGCTTGCATTCAAGAGCGCAGCAGCCGTGCCATGCTCAGAAGTTAGCCACACGCTTTTCCTTCACCCAACTTCTTTTGTACTTAACAGTCTTTCTGATTTTTCCGCGCTGTTCCCCGAGTCTTGGAGATAGTGTCACAGATGGGCTATTTATGTCTTGTCACTCAGAGTTATTTATTCTCTGTGCTTTGACAAGCTATGAGTCTCTGCAGTCTCTGCTGACCACTGCAGAAAAGCTTCTCTGGCCAAAGCAGACAGTAGCACTATCCTGTGAGCATAAACATAGCTATTTAGAAGACAGTTTGACAGGCGCCTCATGTTCGTTTAGCAAAACAACAACAGCAGCTTTCCCATTAGGGCCTATCACTGCCCCAAGCTGTAGGCTTTCGGCCAGGTTTATGCTACCGGGTGTGAATTCTATCCCATGGAGCAGTCATCAAGCCCAGTAAAAAGGCAGCTAGTTACTCCCCTAACAGACTCGCCACTATTGCACAAGTGGGCTCATCTTGCCTGGCTCGAGCCCACAGCTGTGTGACTATTGATGATAATTCTTCCCAGAGGCCTGCTTAGCACTTTCCAGCACAGTCAAGGCTAGCCAGCAGGGAGGAAGCTTCCAGAACAGTTCCAGCCTGCATTCTCAATGTCCTGTGACTAAAGCATATGCCATCTTTAGCAATAGGGTCTTAGCAGCTTGTTCTTGTGGGCAACCAATGGCAGGAGCAATTGCCAATATTCTTTTGAGGGCCTATGGAGCTTCTTTGATCAACAGCTGTTGGGAAGGTGCCCCCCACTCTGATTTGATCCCTAGTTTGCTTTCCTTGACTTCATAGGTTCATAGGTATATACAATAATTTCTTATTCCTTGGTTATTCCAGAATCAGCTTGCTGTACTGAAACAATTGAACTTAAAAATAGGCTGCTTCATAAATACAGCAGAAATTGGGGCTTTTAGTAGGTCAAATGACTTCTTATGTGTTTTTCTGAGCATGTTGGGCAGAGATAATTGCTTGGGAACTGGGGGAAGCCATTTCTCAAGTGTCAGTGATGACCTGAGTGAGAGGGCTGCGTATATTAACCAGAAACTTTGACAATGGAGCAGTTGGGTGATCTTATCTTTCCTTTTTGAGAGTTCTTTTGTTTTACATGTGTAAGTGAACACATGTGTGGGATTTTTATCTCATTCTTGACTTGTAGTTTCCTGACTTTGAATTTTCCTGAAGTAAAATTACCATGCATTAAAAGGCAAGTGAGTTTTCATAGGTATAAAGTCTGCTAATGCACCAGCTGGATGGAAATTTGTCAATGAACGTTTCTTTCTTAACAATTGCTTATCTCTGGAGGATATGGTCTTACTAAAGAATATTCTCTTATTAATGTACTTTGAAATGCTAATCTGACTTGATTATGCTCTTTTCCTCTTTCCAGAAAGTACCAGTATGCTACATCTTCTTTCAAAGGGAAGTTTAAAACTGAAGCTAAAGAGGCAGAAGAGGCAGCAAAAATGGGTATATGGATTTCTACATCCAAATCATTAGAGTTCATCTGCTTAGCAAATGTTAATCGAGCACCTCTTCTCCGGAAAACCCTGCTCTAGGCATTGGGGGTACTGTGACTGTCAGTCAAATGTAGCTCCTATCTCTAGAACCTAAAGTGTACTTTCCATCTCTGGTTTTAATTATGATATTTAATATCCTCTTACATTTACCTGCCACCCCTTGTGTGTGCATGCACGTATGTGTGTCTGTGTGTGCATGCACGTGTGTGTGTGTGCGTGTGTGTGTGTAGGTCAGAGAACAACTTCTAGGAGTCAGTTCTTTCTTTCCAAGACACAGGTTCTGGAGATCCAAATCAGATTGTTTCGGTTCGTGGCAGGCACCTTTACCTGCTAAGCCATCACACTGAACTATAATTTAGTATCTTAAGTAGGATTCCTGTACTAGATAGAGTTAATATTGCTATGAGGAAACACCAAAAGCAACTTTGGGAAGAAAGGGTTTATTCCCTCCACTTTTCCATGTAATAGTTCTTCATCAAAAGCAGTGAGGGCAGAACTCAAACAGGGAAGAACGCTAGAGGTGGGAACTGATGCAGAGACTCTGGTGGGTCCTGCTTACTGACTTGCTTCAAGGGGTTGCTCAAATTGCTTTCTTATATAATTCAGAACACCAGGGTGGTCCTGCTCACAATGGAATAGGTTTTTCCACATCATCCACTGATTTAGAAAATACCCTAAAGGCTTTCCTTTCCTTTTCCATTTTCTCAATGGAGCTTCCCCCATCTCACATGACTATAGCTTGTGCCTTGTTGCCATAAAGCCAGTCAGCACAATTCCCAACATAGTAGGAATTAATTGATACGATAGAAACTCTGGATGCCATGATGCTGTGTCAGCTTATGTTAAAGATGAACATTGCCTCTATTTGGGGAAGTACATTTACCCTTCCATTTGGACTTGGATTGCTGGCCAGTGATCTTTCTGGATCTGCTTGTCTCTACCCCACAGTGTTGGGGTTGTATAAACATCAATCTCTCTCTGCTTTCTGTGTTGCTGGTTGGGATTCAAACCCAGCTCTGCAGGCTTGCAGAACAGGTATTATTGCCCACAGCAGCATCTTTCATATGCCTCAAATAGAAAAGTTAAAATGAGTAAGATCTCTGAGAGGAACACATGGTTTTCAGGTTGTGGGTCTCTGTGACATCTATGGTGGTCATGGTTACAAGTATAGAAAAAAACGTGCTTAGAGATGGTTTGGAAGAATCTGTGTTATAACTAACAGTTGTGCTTCTGTTTCCAGCGGAACTCAGGTTTCAAGAGCACCAAGTCAAAGTACACCAGCCCAACAGAATTTCTTTGTCTTCTGAAAAGGTACAACATGCACAAATCCATCTTCAGTGGCGAAGAACACCACTTGCTTTCTCCCCCCGTGCACCCTTGTCTCTGACCTCATACTTTCTAAACTCAAATATAGACAGGCTCAAAAGATGACGGGAGTTTTAACACAGATGAGGCGGGTGCAGAGACAGGAGAGAAGGGAGAAGGCTGAGGCAAGCAAAAATGAACAGAATCAGGGGTGAATTTGGAGCAGGGTCAAAGAGCTTTATTGTTGATTTGTTTAAACCGAAAAGGAAAGCAATACAAGAGAAAGAGAAAATAATGCAAAGATAGCAGGCAAATGTCTAGCCTAGGAAGCATCCTCAGAAGTGTCTGTTCAAATTATAGCTCTCCGTGGACCCAGATAAATGGCGCAAGCAAGAAGAGGGCTAATAAGCAATCTTTCTTCCCAGTGCTAGGAATCATAGATCATAATTATGAATTTTAATCACAATGCTTCCAGCTTTACAACACTTTTTGCTTGTGAGCCAGCTTGCAGAGTTCATAAACAATCTCTATAATCCATGTAATATGCTCACGAGGAAGGCACATTATAAAGAACTATAATTATTAATTATAGCAAACTGCAGCTAACAAAAAAAAGAGTATCGCTGCAAGATATGCACTGCAAGTCTGCTTTCACCAAAATCTTGGCATAATGCATCCACTGTGGTGATTCATGAGGCACTGCAAGTATTTGCTTTCATGCAAAGAGATGAACAGGAATGGGAAGAGTAATCACTGCCTTTTACTTTCTCTACCACCTCTTCTACAGATTAAATAAATAAATCTGTTCTATGATGCGGCCTTAACTCTACAAGTCAGGCATCTGTCTAATAAAGTCTTCTGCCTATTCGTCATGCAGAAGGGGTGAAGAGAGGCTGTTGTGTGTTAGTGCTCCAAGCAAAGCAAAATCATGGCTTTCTCAAGATTCTTACATTCTTGCTTTCATTTTTAAGGAAAAAAAGACTGATATTATTTTTATTTTATTGTAATTTAAGCTTCTTTTAAAATGTTGTTTCTGAAAGCATTAGTGCCCTTTGCCTTCTCTATCTGGGAGCCGAGAGAAATGGACTCTCATGGGCCAGGGTCTTGCTCCTGTCTCTGTGCCTCTGCCCTGTGCTGAGTGAGCATGCTGCCAGGGAGGGTAGGTTGTCTTTTGACCAGCTTGCTCTGTAGCTCTGAGGAGTTCTTGTTACTTCAGTGTAGAGAAGACACCAAAGCAGAGAGACCTGAACTGTTGACCTCTTACATGCTTCCAAGCAGCTTAATATGAAATCATTTGCACTTACCCCCGCCCTCTCTAACTTGAAAGATAGCGAAAGTGGTGTTCTGTCAGTGATGCAGCCATGGAGAGGGCCACCATCAAGAGGTACCGTTGATCACATGCCATGAGTGAAGCTCTTTAAATGTCTGTTTTGGGGTTTTGTTTTTGTTTTTTGAGACAGGGTTTCTTTGTGTAGCCCTGGCTGTCCTAGAACTGGTTCTGTAGATCAGGCTGCCTCCAGACTCATGGAGATCTGCCTGCCTCTGCCTCCCAAGTGCTGAGATTAATGGCAGGAATGTCAATCAACTCTTTTTTAGAAAGTCTTTATTAGTACATGTTTTACAGGATAATGAGTCTCATTGAAACATTTACATGCAGGCATGTAATGCCTTTTGATCCCATTCACCTCCATTGCCCTCTGTCTCCTACTGACGTCTTGTCTCTTCCCGACAAGGCTCCATAAAAGCCTATTCTTATCTATGAGAACAGTAATAGCAAACTCTTCTTTTGCAGCCTCAGTTAGAGGGAATGGAGACATACTAGAGATAAGTGGGGAGAAAGCCACTGTATCAGATTAAAAGAAACACAGACTTTCGGATGACTTTTGAACACTCTCAAGAAGAAAAGGCCTGAGGAACCTATAAAGGGAACATTCGGGAAGTGTGTGTTCAGAAGTTGATAAGGAGGAGACATATTAGGAAGGATACTAACAAAAGTTATCACTACTTCCCCCCCTGAAATATACCTCAGTGACTGCAAAATCCCAGATTCCTGTTCCCTCAGACAAAAGTCGGGGTCTCTATGCATTGAATAAGTTACTCAAGTTTTCATGTAGTTTGTGTCAAAACCCTTCTACCACATAAGGAGTAAAATGAGGGATCTTAGAGTGCGTGGAAAGAAAATAATAGATTTGGGCTTAGTGTATATTCTGGAAGCACTGGATTGTAGTCTATTACTGTGTGTCTGTGGAGTTCCTACCATGTGAAATGCATTAGACAGGATGAGCAGTCCCTGCTGCCCCGGAGCCTTGAGGTAACAGGGTGTCAGCTCAGTTTGCATCAACTCAGAGTCCCTATGTTTCTTCTCAACTAAAATATCCTTCTCCAGGATGGATTACAGAATGCTGGGGAAGATGTGGAAACAAAACATAAAAACCTTCCACAGAAACAGAGGTAAGGCTTACGGCTTCCTGTCTGTGAGGCCCTCCAGTGCTGTGTCAAGTTCTTTTTTCTAAGTGGGCAGATTTGGAGTTATTATGACAATTTCTCTCTATTAATGAGTGATGTATTATAACAGTAAATATCAATATGATGACGCTTCCCTAACCAAGACACACATTGTAAATCATGGATGATGTTTTTTATTGACGTACATATTTGTGTCTATATAATGTTGAAGACAAGGCAGAAACTCTCAGAATTTGATGGTTTAGACTTCATGAAGATGACTATGCAAAGAGACACCAGCAGGCAATCCCTGCACGGTCCCTCTGTCGTCTGTCCTTACCTCTCTCTACAGCAGTGGTTCTCAGCCTTCCCAGTGCTGCCGCCTGCCCTTCAACATAATTCCTCATGTTGTGATGTCCCCTGACCATAAAATTAGCTCTGTTGCTGCTTCATAACTTTAATTTTGCTGCTGTTATAAATCGCAATGTAAATATTTGTGTTTTTGTCTGATCGTCTTAGACAACCATGTGAAAGGTCGTTTGATCCCCAAATGGGTCATGACCCACAGGTTGAGAACTACTGCTTTAGAGAGCTTAAAATTAAAAATGGGAAACAACACTTGAAGGAATGTGTCACTTATGTGTATTTAAAATAAACACGGAAAAGCTATCAAAAAAAAACCCCCACTACTTTTATTTGTAAGTTTGACTTACAGCAAACTAAACAAAAAAGTTCTGCTGCACAAACCAAATCAGACTTTGAAAACTGGCAGCTTCAGGAAACTTCTTTGTAGGGAACAGTGATTAGTTTTCAGCATTGTTGTGGTCATATATTTACAACTTTAAATATAAGTTTAAATGTTAATTATGTAGATATCAGAAGTAAATTTAAGATGCTTTGCATTTACCAGAATTATCTAAATTTCATAGAAATTTCTATTGAAAACTAAGATTTCTACTTTTCAGAATGAAAACCTTTGTTGATAACTTGTTTCTTGCCATAGTGAAATGTATTAAAATTAACCTGTACTGACAAGAAGGGCAGGTGCCTTGAATGGTTTTATTGGGGTGCTTATTTTTAAAGTTAGCATGCGTAATGGCATCTTGTCACACAAATGCCATTTTCTCATTTTGTTTTAGAGAGGGTCTCACTGTGTAGCCATGGCTGGCCTAGAATTCACTATGTGGACTGGTTTGACAGAGATCCACTAGCCTGTGCTTCCTCAGTGCTAGGGTTAAAGGTGTTTACTCCCACACTGTGCTTTCTAACTCTGTAGACAACCAGCATGTCCCTTACTGTAAAATGATGACATCACATTGTCTAATTCTCTGTTTTGAGAGCCTCACACTGTCAGTCGGTTTCCTAGCTTGTTGCAGAATTGGGATCTCATAGTTAAGGTTTTTGAGAAAGGCTTTGATCTATGTATTACCTTAGGTAATATATATCAACACATGTCAGCAGATCAACCTGTGAGAACAGAGGAAAGATCCCATTTGTTGCCATTTGGGGCTGAGAAAGGAAGCTTTGTTATACCTCTAGTCATTCCAGATTCATTTCTAAAACCTTCTCTTGGTCTTCACCATATCCCGTGTCTAGGCAGACGCTTTACCACGTTGCAGGTGCGACACAGTATTCAAGTTGCTCTTGGTTGCCTGGTTACTGTGATCGTGCGCCAAGCCCGTGTCTCACATCCAGGTGGTTTGCACAGCTCCGGAAGCCTCCCTGTATCATGGCTGTCTATCACATTCTGCTATTTCTCAGTTTCTATATTAGCACTTAATAGAAAAATCACAGAAATATAATGCATAATAAAAAATCAAACAAAGAAACAAGAACAAGTAGTGCCTAGCCTATCTGTTGCCACGTCAGTTCCCTCTAGTAGCCTTAGCTTAGCTTCTGAGTTTTGACAAAGGTTAGAGAGTAAGCTAGAGAATACATTCTTGGCACAGTTTAGTCTAAGTAAGTTATTTGGGAATTTGAGAACACATTGCAAGTGGGAAACACATGCCATGTCAGGAACTTTTTTTAAGAGCCACATTATCATTTTTCAATACTACTGTTATGATGACTATTTTATGTTGTCAACTTGACTACATCTGGAACTCACTAAAATGTAAACATACACCTGTATGGGAATTTTTCTTCATTAAATTATTTGAAATGGGAAGATCCACTTTTAATCCAGATCTTTTGAGGTGGAAAGATTCCTCCTTTAATATGAGCCACACCTCCTGCTGTCAGCCTATATGAAGGACGTGGAAGAAAGAAGCTTGCCCTCTTTGCTTGCTTTTCCTCTCTCTCACAGGCAAGTCCATTCGTTCACTTGCACTAGAGCCTGTTTCTTTGGATTTTGATGTATACTGAAGACCAGCTGAGACATCCAGTCTTGTGGATCAAACAACTTCCACACTCTTGCCAGGAGTGTTTTTAGAGAACCAGAAGTGTAAGGATAGATTTTTTTTTAAGTATCTGGAGCAGGCTTTCTAATTGGCCAACACGTACTGTTGCCTGCACTTTTCTGTGAATTCCCAAACCCGAAACAGGCGCCCACTTTCCCAAATCGAGCCCACGAGAATGGATGAATATCCTAAGGGTTGAAGCAGACAGACACAAGGAGACCATACTCATTCACCAAAGAGTAAATGGCAACTTTATTAAACACAGGTTGGGTATATATACGAGGGGGCAAAGGGACAAAGCCCCCTCCCATCCGGAGCAGTGGAAGAGGTTGTCAGGTGTCCGTGCCAGTGCCGTATAGGGCCTACGGTGGGATCCTTGCTTGCAGGTGGAATTACCATAACAAAAGAGGGCCAAGTTCTTTCTAAGCTAAACCCTCAGGCCGGTGCAATAACAGAGAAGCCAGGAAGCCAGAGGTAAAACGGCCCTGCATAGCGCCACGAACAAAAGGGGAAGAAACCTGGGTACCTACACCTACAGTTACTGAAGCCCCTTCTAGAAGCTCAGGGAGTAGTGAAAGCCCATGTAGGTGAACTGTTTTAAGGAAATAAATGCATTTGATGATCCTGATTCACCAACTGTAACAGGCAGTGGATTTTGTGACTCTGCTTATAAAACTTTTGATAGTTTGTGGAAAAACAAGGGAAATAATGATGCTAGTCAGTTGCTCCCAGCGTCTCTGGGTAAACTGACAAAGGAAAAAAATGAGTTCCGTGCTAAAATCAAGCAACTTCTCGCATCCCAGGATGTGGTGAGGAATAACAGTGAATTCAGTGGTAACAATGACCAGCTCCAGATGTGCATTAACAGTTTAAAGGTTTCTATGTGTGTCCTGGAAGAGAATTGTCTCTCCAGCAGCCACAGAACTCAAGTTGTGAGAAATCAGTGAGAAGACTGGATGAATTACAGTGAACATTTAAGTCTTGGCTTTAGAGGGTGTCAGTGGTTAAAGTAAGGACATTAATTGGTGAAGAATGGGATTCTGTAACTTGTGATAGAGATGTGTGGGAAGATCTACTGAGACTGAGAACTTTGAATCTTCAGATTTTCAAGTGTTTTTCATTCAAGGAATTAGTCTCTCCATTCCCAGCAGAATATATAACCCCACCTCTGAAATACTGCCTTTTATACCTTTGACAAGGGCAATTAATCTTTTAAACTATCAATGACTTTCTCCGAAGGAGATGTCAGGCAAAACAACACAAATGTCCCTCAGGCCCCACAAATAGTTGCTCTAGATCCATAACCAGACTTAAAGTTCCTCGAGTAGAGGCAGAAAGTATAGACCATGTGAAGGTGCACTACATACACCACTGTGAAGCACTATCAATTAAAACTTAGAAAAATTGGGCTTCAACCTGAAGATCTGAAAAGCAAAGCAACCAGCCGCTAACTCTTACTTTGACCTCAGTCAGAAATGGAGATCTTGCCTCCAGGAATCTCAGAATGAGACTGAGACTGAGAACTTGTCTCCTCCCATTTTATAATCCTTTCTATGACTGGGATTAAAGGTATGCACCACTGGGATTAGAGATATGCACTGTTTGGTTTTTATGGCAACTAGTGTGGCTACTGGGCTTAAAGGTGTGTGTTACCACTGCCTGGTCTATAATGCTGACCAGTGGGACTGTTTTACTCTCTGATCTTCATTAAAGCTTAATTTATTAAAATACAAATGAAATACCACTACACTACTGAAGAGCTAAATGAGTTTACTAATTCATGTAAGCGGAAGTCTGGGGTATGTGTGAGAATAGAATTTAAGGGTGGGAGGTAATGGTGGAAGGAGAATAAAACTGAATCAGGCTGAATTTGTTGGTGTGGGCTCATTGCATGGAGATTCTAGGTTTACTATGGAAGGGTACACAGTTAAAAATAGTTGTCAAAAGTTTGAGTGGCTAACTGGAATCTTTGTCAAAAGATGGCCTACTGAAAAGGAGTTGGAGATGCCCAATAACCCTTAGCTTAGTACTGATGAAGGGATTTTAAGACTCAGGGAAATGGCAACATTAGAGTGGGTATGCTGTGTCAATCTAAGCTCCACTATGGAAAGGCTCAGAAGACATGCCCATCGCTAACGTTATAAGATGAAAAATGGCGAGGGAATGCCAGCATATGTGAAGAGCTTTATTGTTGCCCTTTTCCTTGTGCTAGAATTTAGGGTCAAAGATGCTCCTGCTCAGTTGGATGAGTTAAATGCAGTGTGTTTAACTGAGCCCTGAAGTAGCAGGGGCTAGGTGACAGCACTGAATCACCAAAGGCAAGGTGGTCATAATTATCATAATGGGCAGCCTAGACAAAGGGATGTCCATAATGGCCCAACCCATAATGATCAGCACAGGCAAAGTGATTTTTATGGTGGCATGACTCGTACAGACATTTGGCACTGGCTCATCAATCATGGTGTTTCCAAGCATGAAATAAGTAAGAAGCCTACTGCTTTTCTGTCTCATCTGTATAAGCAGAAAAAGTTTTCAAGTGAAAGAAAGGCTCCATTGGATTGTGGTAAAAGGAAATCTTGGCTCATGAACCAATTTCCAGAATTGAGTCAGCTAGCAGACCCAGAACCATTTGCTTTCCCTGAGGAAGGACCTTCCTGAAACACCTAAGAGTTGGACTGTTAGCCTTTCTTCAGTCCTTCCCTAGAGGAATCTATGGTTTTTTACGAGTGTATCTGTAAACTGCAGGGAAGGAAACAATCAGGCTTCCCTGGATTCTCTGGATACCGGTTCTGAATTGATAATGATTGTGAAAGATCCCAAGAAACTTTGTGGCCCTTCAGTTAACGTAGGGGCTTATGGAGGTCAGATGTTAATCAATGGAGTTTGGACTGAAGTCTGATTCATAGTAGGTCCAATGAGTCTCTAAATTCATTCTGTGTTTGTTTCCCCAGTCCTAGAATCTATCACTGGTATAGGTATGCTTAGATTTGGCAGAATGCTCGCATTGGCTCCCTGACCTGTGGAGTGAGGGCTATTATGATTGGAAAGGCTAAAGAAAGCCTTCAGAGTTGCCATTGTCAAGGAAAATACTGAATCAAAAACAGTATGGCATCCCTGGAAAAATTATAGAAATTTGTGCTACCACCGAGTATTTAAAAGATGCAGGGGTGGTGGTTCCCACCCTGTGTTCCTTTCACTCTCCTATCTGGCTAATGCAGAAGATGGATTATGGAGAATGGCAGTTGACTAACGAAAACTCAACCAGGTAGTAGCTGTGATTGCAGCTGCTGTACCGGATATAGTGTCTTTACATGAGCAGATTCACACACTTCCTGGAACATGGTATGCAGCTCTTGATTTAGCAAATGCCCCTTTTTGGTACCTCTCCATAAAGACACCAGAGGCAGTTTGCTTTTAGTTGGCAAGGCCAGCAGTAAACCTTCACAGTTTTGCCTCAGGGATATATTAACTCTCCTGTCCTGTGTCATAACTTAGTTAGACGGGATCGTGATCATCTATCTCCTTCACAAAACATCACATTGGTTCATATTGTGCATATTGATATTCGGCATATTGATGACATTATGCCGACTGAATCAGGTGAGCAGGAAGTAGCAGCCATGTTGGATGTAATGGTAGCACAAATGCACATCAGTGAATGGGGAAATAAATCCAAGCAAAATTCAAGGGACTTTCTATCTCAGTGAACTTCTTAGGAGTCTAGTGGTGTGGGACATGCAGAGATACTTTTCCTGAGGTAAAAGGTGAGTTATTTCACTGACCTCTCCCACCACCAAAAAAGACACACAATGTGTAGTGAGCCTATCTTTATTTTGGAGAGAGCACATTCCTCATTGGGTGTGTTGCTCCAGCCCATCCATCAAGTGGCCTGGAAGGCTGCTAGCTTTGAATGGGGCTTAGAAAAAGAGAAGGTTCTTCAACAGGTTCAGGATGCCGTGTGAGCTGTCCTACAATGTGAACCATATGATCCAGCAAATCCACAATGGTATTTGAGGTGTCAGTGGCAGATAACGATATTGTTTGAAATCTGTGACAGGTGAATCCCAGAGGAAACCTTTGGGATTTTGTATTAAGGCTCTACCATCAACCACAGGCTCTACTTTCCTTTTGATAGACAGCTCCTGGCCTGCTATTGGACCTTAGTAGAAACTGCAAGTGTGACAGTGGTACAGTGGGTCACCAAATTGCCATGTGATCTGATCTGCCCATCATGATCTCGGTATTATCTTACCCACTAAGCCATAAAGTAGGACTTTCACAGCAACAATCCAATATCAAATATGTGATCCACTCAGAGTGGGTCCCTAAGGCACAAACAGGTTACATGAAGAAATTGCCCAAATGCCTATGGTTTCTGCTCCTGTTAGAGGGCTGCATCCTCCCAGGCATGCAGCTATGGCTGCAAGGACTGTATCCTATGATCAGTTGACTGAGGAAGAGAAGACTAGAGCCTAGTTTATTGCTGGCCCTGCAGGTTCTGCAGATACTACTCAGAAGTAGATAGCTGCAGCATTACAGCCCCTTTCTGGGACAACCCTGAAAGACACTGGAGAAGGAAAAACTTCACAGTGGGCAGACTTTGGGCAGTACACATGGTCATATGTTTTGTTTGGAAGGTAAATGGCCAGGTGTGCAATTGTTCATTGATTTACATGCTGTAGGTCAGTGGATTGGCTGGATGGACAGGGACTTGAACAGAACTTGATTAGACAATTGGTGGGAGATATCTGAGAAAGATGTATGTGGATGGATCTCTGCAAATGAGTGAAGGATATGAAGATATTTGTGCCCCATGTAAATGCTCATCAGAAGGTGATATCAGCTAGCTGAGGAGGAGTTTAGTAATCAAGTATACACAACTATCTGTTCTGTGGTCAATCAGCCTCCTTCCCTAGTCACCCCTGTCATTAACCAGTGGACCTATGAACAAAGTCAACAGCAGAGACAAGCACTGAGCACCAGATATGTCACCATTCTCCAGAGTGACCAGACAGCAATGTGGTGGCAAGTTGACAATGAAGGACTCCCTCTATGAAAAGGGCAATGATATGTTTTTAGTGGAGTAGATACTTATTCTGCTTATAGATTTGCCTTTCCTGCACACAATGCTTCTGCCAAAACCACCATCCATGGACTTACAGAATGCATTATTCATCATCATGGTATTCCACACTGCATTGCTTCTGCCCATGGATCTCACTTTATAGCCAGAGAAGTACAACAGTGGACCCACAGTCATGGCCTTCAGCTGGTCTTTTAATGTGTTCCCCATCATCTGGAAACAGATGTCCTGATACAGCTACAGCACCAGTTAGATAGCAACAGCCTGGAGGGCTGGGGGCAGTGTTCTCCAGAAGGAGGTGGTCCAATACATGGTACAGTTTTTCCCATAGCCAGGATCCACAGGTCCAGAAATCAAGGGATGGAAAAGGAATTAGTTCCACTTACTATCACCTCTAGTCACACACTAGGAAAATTTTTGCTTCCTGCTCTCATTACCTTAAGTTCTGCTGGCATTTGTGCTCTAGAGAGGGGAACACTCCTGCCAGGAGACACAACAAACATTCCACTGAATTGGAGAATCAGACCCCCGTCTGGCCACTTAGGGATTCTGGTGCCCTTCAGCAAACAGGCTAAGAAAAGAATAACAGTTCTAGGAGAGGTGATTGATCCATATTACCGAGGAGAAATTAGATTTTTTTCTCCACAATGGAAGGATTATGTCTGGAGTGCAGAAGATCCTTTAGGGCATCTCTTGGTGCTACCGTGTCCTGTGATTAAAGTCAATAGAAAACTACAACCTCATCAGACAGGATTCTACAGGCTATAGACCCAGTAGGAAGGAAGATGTGGGTTACTCCTCCAGAAAAAAAAAAAAAGCCACGACTTGCTGAAGTTCTTGCTGAGGGCGAAAGAAGCACCAAATGGGTAGCAGAGCAAGATGGTTATAAATATCAGCTAATGCCATGTGATCAGTTGGAGAAATGAGGGTTATAATTGACATGGGTATCTCTGTCATATTTTGCCAAAGCTGTATTTGTGAAGACATGTGTGTTTTCTTTCCTCAATTTCTTTCCCATATAATCTAACATCAGTTAAGGGAATAACAGTGTTTATCCTGTCTAAGCTTTGAGAAACTAAAAGACTGTCTCCCAAGGGATAGTGCCACCTGTTCTAAAATTTATAATGAGTTTGTGACTGTACATGGGATAGTTGTATCATATCAGGCATAATTATGACTTAGCTAAATATGTAGTTATATCATGATAAGTGTAATTATTCTAGTTATTATTCTTATTTGGAAATTAAGCATGGCATAAGTAGATATGATTGTGTGTCAAGTTGACAAGGGGTGGACTTGTAATAGCTATTTTTGGTTGTCTACTTGCTTATATCTGTAGTCAAGATATAGATATTATATCTGTATTTAAGATTTTATCTGTAATTTAAGGAAAATCCAAGCAGCTGGATAAGTCTGTAAGGAAATTTTTCTTAGTTAAATCATTTAAATGCAAAGATTCACTTTTAATCCAGATATTTTGAGATGAGAAGATATATCTCTAATCTAAATGTTTTGGTGTGGAAAATCCACCTTTGATTTGGTCACACCTTCTGCTGGAAGCATATATAAAGAACATGGAAGAAGGAATCTATAACTGCTTGCTCTCACTCTTGCTGGCAAATCCATTCTGTCACTGACAGTAGAGCCCATTTCTTTGGGATTCCGATGCATACTGTACACCAGCCAAGACAGCCAGCCTTATGGACTGAAGAACTGCTGGATTCTTGGGCCTTCCATTGGTAGACGGTCGTTGTTGGATTAGTAGAGCCCCAATGTGTAATCTATTTTCATCAGTCTACTAGTCCTGTCCCTTCAGAGACCCCTGACTACCACAGCTGTCACACGTGTGTCAGGCCATAGGACACAGAGACCTTTCTGGTCCTTTTAGATTGAAATGAGCAGACTTGTATTTGAATGGATGCTTGTGCTTAACCTGTGTAGTAATTTGCATGAACAGAATCAGCTATATCCACCAGGTTTTTGCAAAATATCCGGCATGTTATAGGTTATTCTTTTGATGTCTGTCTTCTGAGTTTTATTATCAGGCACTTGTATAAATTTTATATTTTGCTTTGATAGAGCACTTTTAACTGCCTTTGTAAATACAATTCTAGGGCGTTGAGGAAAACAAGAATACTCTCCTTGTTCTTCGGAGTGCACATAGAAGACCAGAACCAAGCTGGAATGTTCATTTACAGTAATAACCGGCTGATTAAAATGCACGAGAAGGTTGGTCCCCAGCTGAAAATGAAGTCCTTGTAAGTAAACTTTTTTCTTGAGTCAAAGGCAGTGCAGGGAGGCCACAGTCCATTTCTGTCTGTGGCTAGATTAGTCACAATACGAGTCCTGTTTGCCTCTCAGCTTTCCCCTCATGCAGGAATTAATCTGCCTAATTTATAATAACACGAGACTGTATGCTGGCTCTCAAAAGAAAATCACATTTTTAGAAAAATTGTTTCTATTACTTTTCTTTTTGTCTTTCAATTCCTTGTATCATCTTTTCAAATGTCCAATGTTTTACCAATTGAAAAAATAGAAATTAAAGAAATATTAGCAGAGGGGGAAAAAACAAGCTCTTACCTTATAAGGAAGCCTATTACAGATTTTGCAGCTTTTGCCAGTTACCTGCATGATATTTATTAGCAAACATCTCCAGTCTGTTTAGATTCTAGAATAATGTATTCTAGTGCTAAAGTACCATGAATTGCTTTGACAGTTATGTGGAATCTTACAAAGACAGCATAGAGGAAGGGAGAGATGGTCCAGCTAATAAAAGCCAGTCTCACAACCAAAAGGACGAAAGACAGAGTCAGACACCATGTCTGAGAGTGGTGGAGTGAGTGGGTGGGGGTGGGGGGTTTTGGTCTTCTTGCAGTCTCATGCTCAGGGAACTAGCTCTTCATTCATTGCTCGGGCAAAAGCAGGTTGTTGCATTTTCTTGTGTCTGGTTGGACTAAGCCCTGCAGACATAAAGGTCAAGGGTGAACATCTTTTGTTGAGGAGCATGAGTGTGTGCATCATGCTGTGTACCAAAAGTGAGAACAATATTTTGTTTTTATCAGTTTTAAGGTTGGCATACAAAGTGACCAGTTTTGTCATGGCATCTTCATACGTGTGTGTCATTATATTTCGCCTTCTGTCATTCCCTTCCCCATGCCCTTCAAAGATTTCTTCAATGTGACGAATGTTATTGCAAGAGCAGTGGGGGTTCTGTAGCACAGAGGTTTTACCCAAAATCTGGTGATGTCAAGAATCAAAATATCCCAGGTGAATGTATATCCTGTGGCCCTAGAAAAGCAGAAGAGAACCCAGAAACTTTTGCACATCAGGTTAATAATCAGATACCTCTCATCACCCTTGGGCCTGTCATGTTTCTTCAGTAGAACTCAGTAAACACCTCCAAAGACCACTGCAATGGTGAGATACGTAGCCCAGCAGATGAAATGGAGACAAAGAAAGTGATTCTCTCTGTATAGGCATAAGATTCCCCAGGTTGGAAAGAGTATTGGCAATAAATTAAGGGAATACTGAGGAGGCACTGTAGGATACAACCAACTCCCACAGAAATCACCGTGAATAATTAAATATCTTTAAGATAGCCTAATAACTTTGGTATGGTCCACACAAAGGCAATTGATTTTATCTGTGGAAGATTTGGTTGCAAGTTACAAGTACTTGATTGCCTCTTCTTTTTCTTTAACCAGATTTTACAAAGTTCATACATGTGTTTACTCCCCCAGACTTGGCGCAGGTGTGATTGGAATTGTGAACATTCCCTTGGAGGTCATGGAACCATCCCATAACAAACAAGAATTCCTCAATGTCCAAAAATACAACCATCTACTAAAAGTCATGGGACAGTACTTGGTCCAGTACTGTAAGGACACCGGGATCAGTGAGTATTCCATGGCCATTGTAAGGGGTACTTTAAGAGAGCTTAAACCTGGTCTTTTGTCTGAAAAGATTATATTGATTCAAGTAACCAGGAACCCAAAGCTCTGAAAAGGGGCTTCTTCTTTGAAAACATAAGAGGAGGACTGCAGTTGTGGCTCAGTGATGAAGCCCTTGTTTAGCTATGAATTCCATCCTTGGCGGTACAAAATCTAAATGAATAGAAGTGAAAAGGGAGCCAGTTTTATAATCTTCCTCAGAGTATCATATGAAAAACAAAGCATCAGGTGGTCATCATGGCACACACCTTTAGTAGGGGCACTTGGGAGGCAGGGGCAAGTGAATCTTTGAAAATTAGTCCAGCTTGCTCTACCACCCAGAGCTACATAGTGAGACCTTCCTTCCTTTTTTTCTCTCTCTTTCCCTCTGTGTGTGTGTGTGTGTGTGTGTGTGTGTCTGTCTGTCTGTCTGTCTGTCTCTCTCTCTCTCTCTCTTACACACACACACACACACACATACACACGTATGCACACATATGCGCACACACATACAGGTGCACGTGCACATAAAATCAGACTAGAAATTGCAAGAGGAGGGCAGTCAACAGTGTGCTGTGGTGGCTGATCATGGCAGAGCGAGGCAGATGATGGCTCCCATGAGATCAAGAACCTTTAGAGGATCTTGTGAGGCTCCATCGTCTGGGAGCACACAGTTCCATATGGACCTGAGAATCTCTTGCCATCTCATACCATTGAATAGTACATATCAATGAGTGTGACTGTAGATAAGTCAAATGGTATTCTGTAGATCTAATATTTGCTGAGAATGCTAATACTACAAACATTTCAATTAAACATAAATGTTTGGAAAATGTAAGGTGCACACCAGTTATCTGGAAAATTTCACCTCACTTCCCAGAGATATTTGAACAGTGACTTGCTGTCCTTTGTGTTAATGAAACAAATACTTCATAATTTGGGCAGACATAGCACTTCACTTATGGAAATGAAACACATTAGCTACTGTGAATCTGTTCATTGATTGACTTAAGGTACATACAATACAAGGCTATCAAAAATAGTCTACCCTTGGGGCAACTTAAGAAATTATTATTATTCTGCTTGAAGTAGAGTGTTTTCTCTGTTTTAGAGTGTTTTCTTTTCTTGTGGACTAACTGTAATTGCACCTGGAAATTCCTCACAGTGAAACCGAGGGAAGGATGCAGGAATTCATAGGACAATAAAGCAGACTGGTGCCCAACCAAGCATGTGGTTCATGTCATCGTCTATCTATGCTGTGATCTATGGACCAGCAGCATCCATACCATATACATCTCCCCCTCAAAGACATATTTGTTGTTATACTTGTCGCTGGGATTACCGGTTCTACTTAAAGCTGTAGGAAGCATAGAAAGTTATTAATAAAAGTGCAATCATAAATGAAGTGAAATGGAAGTTGAACACATGCTCCTTGGTTTTCAAATGTGAACACTGTACAGAATGAAAGCAGTGAGCATTTTAAATTGTGGGGCTCCTGTTCTCTTTGTGTCCTCTCAGTAGTGTGTACCTTAGCCTCCTAGCCTTGTAGTAAGGAATGAAGTTTCTAGAAAAAGCTAACATACATTAAAAGGTTGCAGAGATATCTCCACAGCATGCCTGGGGTGCCATGGTCCTGTTGTGCATGGAGCTCGCTCCATCCCTTGGCCTGGTGTGTGTGTGCACGTGTGCGTGTATGTGTGCGCGCGCACTGTCAGCTGTCCTATTCTCCTGTCTTGCTATCACTTGCCACCTCTCCTCATCAATTTTGTTACTCCCTGTCCTTATCCTATCTACCTCTCCCACTTTCCTTCAAAATCCTCTCAAGTGATGTAATATGATTCAAAATAATTTATGTCTGTTTCTCTTAATATTAGTTAATAACATTGTTTTTCTAATTCTATAACTGCCTATGAATTAATTTAGGGATGGAGGATACTTTTAGAAGAAAGAAAAGAACCTGGAAAAAAGACAGACCAGAAGCAGGGTAGCAAACATGGACAGTGGTTTCTATATTACCAAGTCCTCTAAATTCCACTGCAAACTGGAATTCAGTCAGCAAGGTCTGGCCTGATAGTTTCATTAACTTATGAGCACACCGACCTTCGCCAGAATAGCTAAAGTCATGTAATGCTTGACTAATACTCTTAGAGCCAGCACAACAGGGCACACGGTTTTAATGAAAAGTATTTGAGAGGTTTTAGGATTTTTTTCCTTATAAATAAAAGATGCAATCTTTGTATTTGCTGTAAATATGATCTGTTCCAATGGAAAATTGGACCCTTGTGAAAAATTCAAATCAGCAGAAAGAGAAATGCAGAGGGAGTGACTTTGTGTCGTCTGCCAAACCCGCATTTACTTTTGCACAGTGAATCCTAAGGATATCAGAAACAGTGCTCTCTACGGCTGACCTCACCTCACTGTTGACAACTGTTTTCTGAAGTCTTCTGTATCCCAGCAATGCTATTGCTGTTCGTCAGCTTTGAGGAGTAGGGAGAGAAGAAGATAGGAATCTGGGTGAAACATCAAATGACATTTGAGGTTGAATGGAATCTATTATGTAGAAATGTGTTATTAACTCTATAAACCGCATCAGAATGGAACCGATTATTAAAATGAAATCTATGATGTAATAAATATAATCTTTCCCAACAAAATTCAATACATGATAGTTAATAAAAAAAAACCTCAAATATTGTTTAGTCAAGTCTCATCCATCCCCTTAGCCTCACAGCTACTCAGCCCTGAGACATGGCCTACACAGAAAGAAACAAACATGCCACTTCTCCAGACTGCCTGTGAATCTCAGCATCACAGTATTTTTAAATGCCTTTATAACTTTTTACCTTTCTCATGTTCATTCTCATTCAGTCTGCTATGGTAGGTATGAGTGTTCTAGAACTGACCAATCAAAATCAAATGTGGTCTGCTCTCATCTAGTATCTTCTACTCCAGTAGATTGCTGTGATCTGAGTATTGTGTCCACCCCACAGCAGTAAGTTGAAACCCTGACTCCTCAGGAGGATGCGATTGGGAGGAGGGTACTTTGGGAAGTGCTAGTATCCTGAGAGCAGAGGCCCCATAGTTGTGATTACTATTATAACAAAGGAACAAGTGAGGGTAGAGTTAGAAGGAGGGGCGCTCACAGCTACACAGCTGTCAGGACATTGTTCTTGGACTTGGCAGCCTTCAGCCCTAGGAGAAGCAACTTTCCATGGCTTGTAAGTCACCCAGTCTATGAAACCCAGATGGACTAAGACACAGAGCTAACCTGCTCTGACAGACAATTAGAAACAGAATTGTTGTCTAGTGGAATGAAAAGGGAAGCCGCAGTCAGTTCTGGCAAGCTCCAGTCTTTGGGCTAGGACATGCTTCCTGGAGGAAGTGATTATTTCTGAAGGACAGATAAGAGTGGACAGGCTACCCTGGCTCTATCCGCATGAGCTGTGGGGAACAGGCTCAAAGTCTTTCCAGTTGTGAGCTGCTAAGATCCTTGAAGGCAGCTCACATCTCTCTTCAGCCTTGTTGTGCCTTTATCAACAGCTCCAAATCTGCTGTTATTGTTCATGTGGGCAGAACTCAGTTGCTCTGTCATTCTGGCGCTTACCCGTTGAAGCATCACCTGGAAGAAAATGTTCCAAAGGAAGCACAGACAGCTTGACTGACAAAGGATCATCACTTTCTTTGGAGTGCTTGTTTTGGTTTCAGTGTAGCTTGATAATGCATAAACTCTTGGTCAGCCCATTCATGACCCTCAGAATATTTATTGCTAACTAAAAAATTTAATGTGAGTTCATCTAAAGCCAGACTTCGTTATACTTTTATCTTTTTGAAAGCCGGCATTTTTAGTTCCTACTATACAATTGTGCATTTCCTCACTTCAAATTTTATGACCTTGCTTGTCGCCAGTCATTCAAGTTGTCAGGGTTTTATCTGTTGCTGACTTACAGATGGAGTATTATCTTACAATATTTGTGTACAGTGAGTGTTCTTTATGGTTTCATGTGAATACTGTTGCATAAGATGGATAAAGAAAAGCATTAGGGCCTTGAGTGATGGTCTCCATTGAAGTAGACATGGATATGTGGGGCCCTGGCTTCAACTACAAGTTGTCCTAACTAGTTTGTTAGTTAAATCATATCAATTTCTAGATTTCTGCTTAATCTAAATTAAACATAACATTTTTAGGGTCAATATATTCTTAAAAGATGGATAATATTCTCATATCTGAGTATAGCTGTCGACTGTGTAACACGTTTTCCTTTCCCCATGAATGCAATACAGTTTCTAAGATGTTGGAACCTCACTACAAGGAAAACAGGCAGCTACACCCTTCTAGAGATATGTGGAGTGAGGAGGTGTGTGTAAACAAAAAGGTGAAAACCTGAGACAAGTTTAAGATCAAAGCCAAGAACAATCCATAGCTTTTAAATTTTACTTTATGAGAATTATATGAGATTTATATATTTATTTTGATTTTAAATATTATATTATATGAGTATATTTAATTTTTATCATACTGTTGTGGTTTGAGTTGTGTTTTTATGAAAGTCCCATTTTGAAGCCTTACTCCTAGTACCTGAGGGTGTGACTATTTTTGAAGATACAGCCTTTAAAGAAATACTTAGGTTAAGATGGAATTGTTAGCGTGGACTCTATTTCAGCAGGCCCAGAGTCTTTATAAGAGGAAATCTAGTCACACAGAGAGACTCCAGGGACAGACACAGTAAAAGGTAGACTGTGGAGGAAGACACCAGAAGGTGGTCATCTGCAAGAAAGGCAGAGGCCACAGGGACAGGTGCACACAAAGGCCACGGAACAATGCATCAAGGGAGTGGCCTTCTGCAAGTAAGGCAGGGCACCTCAGGAGGGAATGAGAATGTGTGGTTTGGCCAGCCAGTCTGGGAGTCCCAGCTGCTATGGGAGGCCAAGGAAAACAAGGGGAATTTCAAAATCAGAATAAGGATAA